TTTCAGTAACTTTTTTGTAATAATTATTTCGGGTTTGGATAGCAATTCAAATAAACTTCAATTTAAAACAACGATGGCACAGATCTGTTGATAAACAAAAAAGTGTTACAGGCCGGCAAAGTTTTTGGCTTATTGTTCAACAATTTATGCCACTAGTGGAAAAAAAAAATATCGTCATTGGCGGAATACCTCTAGTTTTTAGGGATGAAAATTTCAAGTCTATGGGAAAAAGGTAAACGGCTTAAAAAAATTTGGGAAAATCAGCCCTCGGCAATAATTTTCACGATCTATCGCGCGGCGGCGGAGTGGGCGAAGCCAACGAATACTCGACAGAAAAATTGAGTCTGACCCTCAAAATCAGCAGCGCAATTGAAATCGCTATTTTCTCGTTAACTATTCAACATATTTTCATCATTTTTTTTTAATTTGATACCCCGCGACGAGAGAAATCTATTCCCGCTATATAAAATGAGCAAAAGTTATAAACAATGGCATAAAATTTATTTATAAAAAAATGTCATTTTTTTTCTTCATTATTATTAACAGGAATGAACTATTATTATATAGGTAAGTAAAATCAAGCATTTTAACATTTTATTTTCAACATTTAATTGAAAGAACAAATAATCAATATAATTTACAAATAATCAATACAATTTTTTTCGGTGTAGTATACGCTCGCTTATTATAAATTTGACATTTATACGTCCGCTTATTATAAATTCTAAATATACACGCTCGCTTATTAAACATTAGAAATTTATACTCTCGATTACTGTAAAATCAATTTTTTTTCTTTTTTTTCGAAGGAGGGCTGTCGGATTCGCTTATTTCATCCGACTCGCTTTCAGACTGATAATCAATGTTATCTTGATCAGCAATTGGTATATCATAAACGACTTCATCATCTACTTCGCTAACTTCACATATCGGTTCGAACACATTATCGTAATCATCTTCTATTGCGCTATCAATAATATCATCTAGATTGTCGTCGCCTTGCAAATCGCTGGGTTCTTGTTTGTTTTCGCATGACTGTCCTTTACAATTACCACAAAAATCGGAACATTTCATTCCATTTTTTTTGCACCCACAATTATTTGTACACCCCTTTTTACAATTACATCTAATACTACGTAAAATTTCATCTAGTACCAAGTTCCCGTCCACAAAAACTGGTTTGTAAAAATTATTCACGTATTCCAGCCCCAATTACTCGGCTTTAAACTGGTGTAACTTTCTTCCAGATTACTGCTATTACCTAACCCCAACCACAATTGAATTTGATAATATACTCGGTAGGAGTGACAAACAGCAGCCGATTCGCTAGAGGGAAGCCATTTCAAATCGAAGTTATTTTTTGTTTTTACTCCTACCTCGAAACAGTGATGCCGAAATACATTTAAACTCATTTTTTGATAGGGTTTGGCACCGTACAAAGCCTTAATGGCTAAATTACCGGCTTCCGCGATTTTAGCTTTATCTATATTAGGATCATTAAATACCGCTAGTTTTGTAATTAAAGATTCATCTTTTAATACTATTTTGAGTAATTTACTTTTACCTTGGTAATAAAAAGCACTCGTTGTATCGCAGCCAGTAAAAGCGTATAAAAATAAAATTACGGGTTTTAATTGTTTATATATAAAACTATGACCGCCATAAAAGCAAACCGAAAGAGAAAGTGGCTTCTATCGTACTAACGTTTCCAAATATATAAGAATTTGGAATATGCAAAGTTAAGAAGATTAAATTTATCATAAACGCGATGTAGTTAATTATTTAGACAATACATATTTAACATTAGACAAAAAAATTATAATGAATCATATTTTTTTTTTTCAAGTACAAAAGTAAGCTTAATTATTTATTTATATGTAAGTTAACATGTTAAACTACTTAATTCTACTTACCTATATAATAATAATTCATTCCTGTTAATAATAATGAAGAAAAAAAAATGACATTTTTTTATAAATAAATTTTATGCCATTGTTTATAACTTTTGCTCATTTTATATAGCGGGAATAGATTTCTCTCGTCGCGTGGTATCAAATTAAAAAAAAAATGATGAAAATATGTTGAATAGTTAACGAGAAAATAGCGATTTCAATTGCGCTGCTGATTTTGAGGGTCAGACTCAATTTTTCTGTCGAGTATTCGTTGGCTTCGCCCACTCCGCCGCCGCGCGATAGATCGTGAAAATTATTGCCGAGGGCTGATTTTCCCAAATTTTTTTAAGCCGTTTACCTTTTTCCCATAGACTTGAAATTTTCATCCCTAAAAACTAGAGGTATTCCGCCAATGACGATATTTTTTTTTTCCACTAGTGGCATAAATTGTTGAACAATAAGCCAAAAACTTTGCCGGCCTGTAACACTTTTTTGTTTATCAACAGATCTGTGCCATCGTTGTTTTAAATTGAAGTTTATTTGAATTGCTATCCAAACCCGAAATAATTATTACAAAAAAGTTACTGAAAATGTTATTAATCTATTTTGCAATTAAGGTCGCTTTTGTTTTTTTGCTCCCACGGTCGCAATTTTTATTTTTTTTGATAAATCATTTTGGAAATCGATAGAGGGCATTGAAAGACATAACGTAAATTTTTTTTTCATTAGTGGATAACAATTGGGCTTCGAAAAATAAACGAGTATGTAATTTGTTTATAAGACGATAACTCGTAAAAATATTAAACTTACAGATTCGCGATTCCGTACACATCATCTCGTAACAAAAAGACATCATTCAACGAGAAGCGGTGCTACAAAGTTTATAACAACGCTAAAAAAAATTGTTTATAATATTTTCAAAATACAAAAGTTAATAGTTAATAACTTTTTACCTGATGGATATTTTTTGACGTGCAACCTATGGTTTTGTAGGTAATTTATTCACGAACAAAAAAGTATTGAACTATTTTGTTGTAAATGTTAACGGAACAAAGTTATAAAGAAAAGAACGAAAAAAGTCACAAAATTTATTAGTTTATGGACATTTTAACAATGTTCCGAAACTTTCTCAGACTATGGATAGTTGTTATCTTAATGTACGCCGTTCACACTACCTGTCAAAAAATAATCGTCTTGCCGAAATGAAAAACCGCGAAACCGCCTTTTTCGGCCTATTTTTCCTGGACTATCTAGACCAAAGATTAAGTATAGAATAAAGGAAAATAAAACGCCTCAAAGGGTCCTTCTCTTCAATATTTAGTCAATATTTAGTTAACTTTTAACAAACTGAAAAAGTATAACTTTTGTCATGTTTGTTGACAGAGCTTAACTTTATTAGTATATAACTTTTTTTTTTTTTCAAAATTTTTATTATGATCTTATTATTTGGTTAAATGAAATATGCAATATATTCAAAACGATTTTATAAATTTTAAATATTCATAAATTCTTTTTGCAGAAAATTTCCAAATAATTTTCCATAACTTTTTCTGTGACAACTGTTTTCTAGACTAATACTTGCTATGTAATTATCATAGTTACCATTTGCAGGCAACGACTCGTATTCATCAGTATCTATCGCAATCTGTTGGAGATTCTTATTGACTTGGGCCTCTTTTTTAACTGTAATAAAAATAAATATATTAGGTGTCATTTACAAAGTATATAGCGAAATACTATATTAACCATTACATATGTTTTAACATTTACTTTGAGCATTTTTAATAACTTCGGTTATCTTTTTATTATGAAGCTCATTATTAACCAGTTCATTTGATTCAAGATCCGCAACATCTTCTGCTTAATATAAAAGAAATGCAATTAAAAGGTACTAGAAAGTATATCTGATTTCATTCATTATTTTGAATGTAATCATTTAGTTTTTTCGGCAGCCGACGAGGCTGAGTATACAACAGCCATCTACTGCACACCGCTAGAGAAACTTGCTAGATTCATTAGTAAAGAGGCGGATATGGCGAGACGAGCCGGTATCTACGACGTAGAAGTGCCCACTCAGACCTTACGTGAAAAGGGCTACCACGCAACGAGTCGGAACGAAAAATCATCGAGAGCAGCGGTAGTGTGCACAAGCGTCGACGATGGTGAGCGCGAAGACTCGGCCGAACGGGCGCCATCAGAACGTGGTTGCGTATACTGTTTCCGACCAAACCATGAACTCTCACGTTGTAAAGGGTTTAGAAGACAGAATATCGCGCGAAAGTGGTACATTGTTAAACTTAAGAGGTTGTGCTACAGATGTTTGGAGAGCGGACATCCGCGAACGCAATGTAAGTCGTCCGACGTTTGCGAATATTGCGACTCACGGGACAACAAGTTTCATCATTCGGCTTTACACTCCTTTGATCGCGAACGAGGGCGAAGTTCTTCGAAAAGAGACGATCAGAAACGACGACATACGTCACCCGAACGAGTACTGGAAAGTCACACTGAACGCGGTGATAGAGAGCGTTCGCGTCCGAGGGATCGGAAATCAAGCTCTCGGAGAGCCTGACTAGTAGAAAGAAAAGGACTTTTGCGCGTCGTGGTCCTCAACGTGCACGGGCCAAAGGGCGAAATCACGACCTGCGCTTTGTTAGACGGGGGATCCACTATCACGTTAGTACATTAAGAATTCGCGCGCAAGCTCGGAATTAAAGGGCAAAAAGTAAAAAAAAACATGCGAGGTTTGTACGGCGGCGTTCAAGAATTAACATGCGAAAAAGTAGCATTCAAGGTTAGTAGTCCTTTCGGCGAACACAAAATCGAGCACGCGATAATCATTCCTTCGTTAGATCTCCCGCGTCAGACGTTGTCGGCAGAGCTTGCGCAACATATTGAGGAACGAGAAAGGATTGGGCTACCGGCTTTTCGTGACGCTCAAATATGTATTTTAATTGGGCAAGACAACTGGCCCCTACTCGTGAGCCAAGAAACGAGGCGACTAGACACGGGTGGACTAGCAATATCGCGATCAGCGCTTGGTTGGTCTTTACACGGGTACGTCGCGGAAGGCGAAAAGCTCGAAATAGGTCCGCAAACTCAAATAGCATGTCCCTTCGTGAGCGAAGACAAAGACGACGGGTACAGACGACTGGACGATCTAGAAAACACGGTAAAAAAGTATTTGAAATCGAACAGTTCGGCCTCGAAGCCACCACGCGAAAGACGGCCAAAGGCTGGGAGACTGGTCTTCTTTGGAAAGAGGGTCTAATGCCGCAACTCAACAGCAGGGCCACCGCGCTTAAAAGACTTTACTCGTTCGAAAAGAAGCTTGATCGGAACCCCGAATTTGCTGCACTTTACTATCGAGAGATGAATCGTTTATTCGAAAATGGGTACGCGGTAAAAGTTTCCGGAAACGTGAAAAGACCGCGCGAGTGGTTCGTACCACATTTTGGCGTGCAGAACACAAACAAACCTGAGAAAGTACGACTAGTTTTCGATGCCGCATGCCCAACGAAAGGCATCTCTCTTAACTGTTTACTCGAGACCGACCCAGACTTACTAGAATCATTGGTCGCTGTTCTTTTACGTTTCCGTCAGTTCCCAATCGCGGTTAAAGCAGACATATCAGATATGTACTTGCGAATTAGCGTGGTAGAGAGAGACCGCGGCGCGCAAAGATTCCTCTGGAGAGGAGTGGATCGTAATCGCGAACCCGACGTATACGAGAACACCAGTTTAGTTTTCGGCTCGAAATCGTCTCCTTGCAGCGCGATTTATATAAAAAATAAGAACGCTGAAATATTCGCGAAAGAAAAACCTGAACCCGCGCATCATATCGTTAAAAGCAGTTACATGGACGATTTTCTTGCATCGGGAACTTCGGTAGAACAAATGCAACGGCTAGTAAACGACGTCATACGCATAAATAGCAATGCAAACTTCAACATGCACGGTTGGGCCTCAAACGACGACCGCGTCGTGGACCAGGTATGCGAGGAGAAAAAATTAGAAAGGGTGACCGAAGCCATTCTGTGCGACATTGAAGACCGTATATTAGGCTTATTCTGGGACCGAATTAAAGACGTACTTCGCTTCAACGTAGGCGCCGGGAAAATTCGCCCAGAATTATTGCAGGGAGACAAAAAACCTACGAAACGTGAACTATTTAGCATAGTTATGTCTGTGTACGACCCGCTTGGGATTCTCGCGCAGTTCATCGTTCAAGCAAAATTTATCGTACAAGATCTTTGGATCAGTGGCGTGAAATGGGATTCGCAGATTCGCGACGAAGAATTTAAGGATTGGGTAGTTTGGTTAAATAATTTAATCGCGATGAAAAGGGTCGAAGTCCCGCGTTGTTATCTAGCAGGCATGTTTGACTACTCCAGGACGCAGTTACATGTATTTTGCGATGCTAGCTCGCGTGCAAGCGCTGTGGTCGCGTATTTGCGAACGGAGACGAACAAAGGCACGCACCTTGCGATAATTATGTCAAAAACACAAGTAGCAACGACGAAAAAGCGCATGACGATACCGCGTTTAGAACTACAGGCAGCGTTGCTCGGAGCAAAACTTGCTGTCACGATTCAGAAAGAGCTTGACATCAAAATTGAGGAACGAGTTTTCTGGTCAGATTCGACCACTGTCTTGCACTGGATTCGCGCGGGTCCCCACGGGAAACAAATTTTCGTTGCAAATCGGCTAGAACAGATCAGCGAGCGTTCGCGTTCGGAAGAGTGGCGATGGGTACCCACGAAGATGAACTCCGCCGATGATGCGACTAGGAGATTGTCGAAGCCCATGCAGTCCGACGATCGGTGGCTCATAGGCCTGAATTACCTACTCAAGCGAGCTGACACGTGGCCTACCCAAAAGGCGTTAGATCAGCTAGAGAAACGCGCGAATGACGAACTGGAAGCTCGCAAGGAATTCGTCGGGACATTCATGTTCGACATACCGGATAAATGGAACGCTTTGAATACGAAGGATAGAGTACTCGGTTGGTCCATATTGCTAAAGGTAGCCGCGAACGTTCGAAAGTATTTTTACATCTGGCACGATACCGCGTTGAACAAGCCAGTGGAATGGAAAGCTCACGCGAAAGCAGCTAGACGGGATGCGCTAGGAAAGAAACGCGAAAGAGTAATAACGATACCGCCGCATAGAAAAATAGAGTCCGATGTCGATAGAAGAACGGAATCGGAAAAGGTCTGGTATCGCGTAATTCAAACGTCATGTTTCTTACACGAACTAAATTTAATAAAGAAAGGAAAAGCAATACCACTCGAGAGCAAACTGATAACTCTCAATCCGTTTATTGACAACGATGGTTTATTGCGGACAAAAGGGCGTGTTTTAAAAATAACGAATGATAAAAACGAGGAGATAGACATAGAACTCCACCCGATAATTCTGGACGCTAATCACTTCACGACTAAATTACTGATTTACGGGTATCATCGGCGATATAATCATGCAAACGATCAAACCGTCATAAATGAATTGCGACAACAATTTTATATCGTGAGGCTTAGAACAACGTTGCGATCGCTCGCGCAAAAATGTGTAATATGCCGGAAACAGCGTGGGAAAGCTGTGAACCCTCCGATGGCCGCGCTACCAGCGTGTCGCGTAGCTTATCGCCGATTAATCTTTCTTCATTGTGGTATAGACTACTTTGGGCCGATGGTTATTAAAGTCGGACGCCGCCGCGAAAAACGCTGGGGGGTATTGTTCACGTGCATGACAACGCGAGCGATACACATAGAGCTAGCCGAATCATTAAACGCGGATTCGGCCATACGAGCGCTGACTCGGTTTGCAAAGCGACGAGGGTTTCCGCGACATCTATACAGCGACAACGGGACAAATTTCGTTAAAGCGAGCAAAGAGCTTAAAGACGCCATCGAAATCATGACGAAGAAAGACACGGGTCAAGTGAACAAGAAAAAACGATTCGCAAAAGAAAATCGGTTCGAATGGCATTTTAATCCGCCGACCGCGTCTCACATGGGGGGAGCGTGGGAACGTTTGATAAGGTCAGTCAAAAACGCGCTGCATCATGCGCTGGACTACTCGGTAAACGATCCGCAAGAGATTAAACCCGCCCCCACCGGAGAAGTACTGCATACGCTTTTAATAGAAATCGAGCACATGGTGAACTCGCGGCCGCTGACGCTTGTATCCGTAGATCCGTGAGATGAAGAAGCGCTTACACCTAATTACTTTCTCATGGGTTGTTCGTCCGGAGACTTACCATTTGAAAAATACCATGTAGAGATTACCTGCCCGCGGCGAGCTTTCGTGATGGTGCAGAATCTAGCCGATCGCTTCTGGACAAGGTGGTTACGCGATTATCTGCCATCGTTAATGCGATGTCCGAAATGGCATCAGTCGACCAAGCCATTAAAAATCGGGGATATTGTTCTATTAGTCGATTATCAAGCGCCGCGAAACACGTGGAGAACCGGAAAAGTCATAGAACTATACCCGAATAAGACCGACAAAATCGTGCGAGTCGTGAAATTACATGTGGAAGACAAAGAGTTTGTCAGGCCGGTAAACAAGTTAATAAAGATTTTTTGCGATCTTGATTAGGAGCCTAAGATTACGCGCGTTCTTAGACTCGGGGAGGTTGTTGAGAACGCTAAAAATATATTCACCCGCGAGTGAGCAGCAGGCTGACTGCCACATGGGTCAGTCGTGCATAAAAAAAAAAAAAAAGGCTCGTTCGACAGCGAAGCGCAAACCTTTCTTTTTTTTTTTTTTTTTATTATTTTAGAAAGCGGGACTCGAGTTCGGGTGCTCGACCGTACATATGTTCGACAGGACACGTTCAGGTCGGGAAAATGTAAATACGCGCGCTGCTGTTCTCCAAATGAAACACGGTTATTTACGACCTCGAGACAATGTGTCAAAATAGCCGGAGAGAAGATTGGGTTCAAAAAATTAGCCTGCGTGTTAATTTGTCGTTGCATGGTGTGTCTGTGTGGTGTGTCTGCGTGGTGTGTCTGCGTGGTGTGTCTGCGTGGTGTGTCTGCGTGGTGTATTTGTGTGGTGTGCTGTATGTGTGAGGCCTTCGGGGCTCCTCTCGATGCTTGAGTCGACGTATTGCGGAACGAGGTGCCTGGTGAGTGTTGCTCGTCGCCGCATAAGCCACCAATACAGATCCGTGCGCACCCGGAGGCTGCAGACCCCTCGAGGAAGCTCAGCTTCCTGAACATGTGGGTCACGCTGGAGGCGGGAAGGGCAAGTCACATGGGACATGCTCTAGACCGATCGGCTGTCGTACGAGAGCGAGAGAGAGAGCAAGAAGGGTGAAAGAGCGGGGGCGTGAACGACAGCGCGTGCGCCTATGAGACCCTGCAATGTAGCGGTGGGGAGGGGCCTGGAAAATTTGGTCTTCGGCGTACGAGAGTGGAATACCCCAGTTCGACACCACTTTTGTCTCCGGCAAGTAGCCTTTGTCGAAAGAATTTGTTTCGCGCGATTTAACTGCATGTAAAACCTTCTGTATCGTGTGCCTTAATAAACATAAGAATAATAAATATTCCACCACTCAATTCCTACTCAACCTCACCCCTAAATAACAATAAGTTTAAAAAAGTACGAAACATGTTTTATCGTTTACCTCCAGTAGCTGCATTTGTTGGTGTAGATATGCTCCTATTTTCCTTTGAAGGTACATCATTTAATAATGTGCATACCGTGATGTCTTTTGCTATACTGTAACGGGGTATTACCGTTTAATTATATTTTTATTCGCGCGACTTTGTTGAAAAGGCGAACGTAATAATCTATGCTTAAAATGTAGTCCGGAGAGCATGCGGAGACAGGCGTCAGCCAACCAGTAATTCTAATTAACCTATAATAAAATGAGTGGAAGCTATAAGGAGTAAGTGAGTCGAAAAACACTTGTTAGTAACACGAACTGAACCTTTTATTATTACTCAAATACTACATAAGGTCGGCCCGCGCGTTTGTTTACATCGACGCTCGCTCATCGACAACACGTATTGTCGGGACGCTCGCTGCTCTTTGTTATTAGAGCCGCTACATGCAGGCTTCGAATGTCGGAAATTAATTATTAAACATGCAACCGCGATCGCGAGATTAAGCTGGCCAGCTTACCTTGTTATTGCAGGCGTACGGAGCGGACGAAAAGTAGTCGCACTGCGCGGAACTGTCTTGTTTATTTTTGCCGGTCGCGAATTCGCGCGCACACGGTTTCGCCCTCGATGGCGAAACCTCACACACTCTCCTTCGGCGGCTCGTGTCCCTTTCCTCTGCAGGCGTATGGCACCACGTCAACGGCGGTTACTGTCCTGGCACAGGGCTGAATGTTCCTCCCTTATTATATTAGGGTTAACGGCACGTGGATCGGCGATAGCAACAACAAAAGCGGGCGGCCACAATGATGGTCAGTGCTTCACTCGTTCGATTTCAAGCGCGCGCGTTCCATCTGCTCGCGTGCCGAATTCCATCGTTACCTTTTTCGTCCCCCGGTAGGTGCTGCCCTCCCAGGCAGCAATTAAGTTAGGTTATCAGCGCTAATTTGACGTTTACCGTCACAATACATTAAAATAAAACAGAAATATTTAGAAAGAGTTTAATTTAATAATAAGTAAATATGTTTTCGGCATATTACGACCGAAAAGAAGTCATAAAATCCCGAAATCCGGACGGAAAGTGCCTCTGTGACGAACCGACGTCACGTATCGTCAGTACGCGAAGTAAAAGCAGTAAATTACGCGCATAAGAAAATAGAAAGTAAGCGCGAGCGTTCAAATAAATATTTATTTATAACAAACATAATAGGCTAGCATAACCGTAAATAATGTAAATGGTCGCTTGGGTGCTACGATACAGCGGGTCGTAAAGGATGGCTCAAAAAAAATAAGGAAAAACAACTTTTTTGACGACTTTCAAATCGTCAAAATTTAATGAGTTTATCGCCCATTAAATTTTATCACCATTGCGAACAGCTACGCCGCACGTATGGACCATCAGCGAGGAGAGAAGAAAGGCCGAGACTGAGAACCGGGGAAGGAGAAAACCAGCCTCCGAATTCGCCAGTGCCCAGAAAAGGGACGTCCTTTTCCATCCCCCGCACGCACGAATGACAGCAAGCAGCATCAAGCGGAGCTGAGACGCCGCATCGCGAGTTGAGACTCGATTTCGCTACCGAATCGTTTATTTGACTCTGTTATTTTTCACCTAAATATATATAGAGACTTACGGGTAGTTAAGTCCTCTACAAAGTAAATTTTGCCTTTTCTTTTCAAAAGTTACTTGAACTATTTTTATTTCTTATTTAAATTCACGTGAGTTACGCGCGCAAACCAAAAGCATAGATAAAATCACAGATATTACACCTCATGATATTCGCGGGGCGAAACTGGTGTACGCAGGCGCGACTACGCGCCGCTTTGAACCGAGAATGTTAGAAACACTTTCCGATCACCATCGGCTTCGCCTCGAGCGGCAAACTACACGTGCATGTAATATTTTGGTTTCCGCCTTTGGTGCGTAATATACTATTCATTGTCAAAGTTTTCGTTTTTCTTTTGTGAATACAAAAATTATATCAATTTTTTTTTAATTCAATAGTAAAATTTAAAAAAAAACTATTTCAATATAACCTTTTAATATAAATTCCATTAGCTACTAGCTTCAATTTATTTTTCAATTTATTATTATCAGCTATTAAACTGTATAAATAAATAAATTGTAAAAACTTACTCTTGAAAAAGATGTTTGTAGCCGGTGTTTCAGGAAGCTCGTCTAGCGATTGTTTAATCGTATCGTCTTTCTTCTTTTTCGATTCATCCTCTGAAGTAGTTAATTCGTTGTTGCTAGTGTCGCTATCATAATGAAAGCCCTCTACGCGTTTATGCTTGCGTTCGCGTGGTTTTACTGACGAGTCATCAATGTCATCATCCGAGAAAACGATTTTCGCTTTGTTTTCTTCTTTTTGGCGGAGATACTCTCCATCGATATCGATATAATTACTATTATCCGACGCCATTTTTTCTTTGACCTTAGCTTCCAAAAGGTCGACTGTATAACACAAAAACGACAAAAATGTTATTACTTTTTTTTAAATTTTGCAATGCCTAAAATGCTATGATTTTTATTTAATCTAAACGATTTTAATCGTATTAAATAATTGTTACTAAACGAAGATTCAGCAATGTAAAAAAAGTAACACAAAGTATTCCGTAAAAGCTCGCAAGAAAATTTAACGTTACAATAATTCCTTAAAGAATTCAAATAGCTGGGCGACTATACGAGTACATAATAAATACATACTTGTTGCATGCGTATATTTAGAACAAACGCGCACGGTCTCTTTGTTTCGTATTTATCTCGAAAAAAAAAACAACAAATACATCCTTGCACGGATTGACAATATCACTCGCGGCTTATTTCAAAGAAAAAATATAGAAAACAAAGAAGTATGCTTACCAGCATTTCCTAAAATCTCAATTTCGAATATAGACCAGTTATCTTTTTTGGGCTTTTTATTCCTAATCAGTTCAGCGATTTTGAATTGGTTTTCCCCGGTGGGTCATGCACCCGCATCCACTGTTTGTCCATTTTCTATCACAAGTTTTTCCACCCATGATTCTGGTATAGTAGTAATCTCATCATTGTACACGTACCGAACTACTTTGTAGTTAATGCCACCATTTTTTTTCGATTTTGGAAGCATTTTAACACGGTATTCTTCAACTTGCACAACCGCATTGCAACAAAGAAATATGTTTGCGAGTCTCGCGACCGCTACTGCCGCCACCTTTGATCGGCATACACCGGCAACGATACCACCGCTAAAGAACGCGCAACGATTCAGTGTGCTTTGACGTACTGAATCGCTGTGCCGGCTGTGCGTTCAACAGCTGGCCAAAATAGAGTACGCGACACTACGATACACGGTATTCGCCACACGGAGGTTCACGGTGCTGCGAAAGCCTCTGTCAGAGATTAGAAGCCCCTGCAGCCAGAAGTATACTCGCTCACAATGCTGTGCGGTGCCAATGAGCCGATAGACTTCTGCCCGCAGTGCTCGTCGTGCGTGTGCTGCGATATGTGAAGTATAAACTTGGCAACAGTGCTCTCATCAACTGTATACAGCGATAGCATGGAGGCTGTATGTCTCCATGAGCGATAATCTAGAGTACACTAACTTTTCTGCG